CTGCTTTCTAGGTTGGAGGTCTTTGCTTTCTAGGTTGGAGGCCATTGTGCTTTGTTCTGCCATTGCGGGTGTTGTGAAAGCCGTTCTTTCGACCTGTGATTCCAATCACACACCCCGTGAGTTCCCTGAGGGGGGATATGATGGAGTCACTATGTGTCCAGTTGCCACAAGCGACCATGGGCCCTGATTTCTCTCCGACCACTAATTACACTGCAACAGGCTACTGGCAAGACAAACCGCTTACACAGTGCCAAAAAAACAAGTTTCTATATATTACAACTTCAAGGCGGACGTCTTCCTTCTCCAAGGCACGGAGCTCCCAGAGTCAAGGCAGAACGAAGAAGTCCCACGGCAAAGGTGAAGCGGTCGATGACGAATGACAATGAGCTGGACAAAATCTCAGGAAAAACAAACGTCAATGTCTAAACGAACAAAAAAGTAGAACCTAGTAGAACCGAAAAATATTGAACGTCGAGCTAAGCCGTGGACAGCCGTGATGATCAGTAGCAACCAAAAGTTGCGCAAGATGCTTTTCTCCTTGGCCAAAATCAACGTCTGGCATGAGGAACCGACCAAACTCTGCCGACAATACATTTGGTCTACTGGTCTTCACAAACTCCTGAGTCTGCAGGTCTTCACACTTTTGATGATGTTCTGCATCAATTACCACAGCTGCTGTTCCCTTACACAAGGATGCAGGATTTTTGAAACACTGACTGCGATCTCACATCGCTGATGATTTCAAGAGAATATACCGTTGCCTTTCTGAAAAGCCTTGCCATGCTTGACAACGGTGTCTTTGTTGGTGAAGCCTGAAGTCTGAAGTGAAAGACACAGATTTCCTGTTCAAACCTCAACAAAAACTGAGGCGATTACCGGATATCCGGGACTGCCATCCTTTCGCATATTTGCAAAACACATGTAGCCTTCGAAAGCTACAAACTCAAGCAAAACCAGAGTTTTCAACAAAATTTGATGTCATTCATTGCCCAACCTTCCCTTCAGGCAACGCCAGCCCTGCAATGCGTGCAGTTATACGACGCCCACTGAATCTTCCAAAAAACATGCCGGCGTTTCCTGGTGCCTTGGGCATGGTTTGGCAGACCAGAAGCCAAGCTGAAATGGCAGCGGTTGGCTGTGATACGCATATCGGGATCCAAGGTGAAACTGCAGGATACTGTTCTTGCTACATGCCTTCACAATGCCCCATCTTTTTGATCGTGCCTTCAGGAATCATCTGCGGCACCCCACCTTTAATGTCTATTCCAGCAAGAACAAAGCATAGTCCAAAACATACTACTTCAAAATGTGAGGGATCATCTGCGGCACACATTGGAGGATCATCTGCTTCAAGCATCCTTTTTGATGCCTTTCAAATCGTTATTGCACACAATGGTTTGTACAACAAACTTGCGTGGGGTGGGTGCGGCGATGGGGGGGCCAACAATCACATACCTTTTCCGACCTTTCACACCTTGCCCGCAATGGTTTTGCAAACATAACATACTCTGTACAACAACCTTGGGTGGGGTGGGTGGTGGGGTGGCGGTGGCGGTGGCGGTGGTGGCGGCAATTATGGTGATGGTGATGGTGGTGATGGTGGTGGTGGTGGTGTGAAAGTTAGACACCAACATGTCCCCCCTAAGTACCATAACGCCCAAAGCGCATTTGGAAGCTCGAGTGTTTTTGCAATGTGGATGATACGCACAAATCGATAAAGTGAACCAAGTGCCGCAGTGGCCAATCCAACCATTGCCATTGCTTTTGGCCGGAGTTCGAAGCTGTTCGTCGCCCCACGTACCGTGGCTCAAGGTGCAAGGGAGAAGCTTGCGCTGGGTCCGTGGAAGGGCAAGGACGATCACGTCGTTCACAGGGGTCGAACATCGACAAATCAAGAAGTGTACCCAAGTTTTCACTTTTGAACTTTAGGTTTGAACTCCGTGTGAATTTTCACATGAGTTGCGGAGTTCCTGTAAAGGAGTTTTTCATTTCGCTAGCACCTTGAGTAGCTTGGGACCTTGCTTCAACAGGTAATTCAAGATCAGAGTGGGTCAGGCGCCGCAGGTTCGACTCCTTCTCAATTGCCTGCGCAACCGAATCTGCAAGGCATCCCATCACCACCGACCGCTGTTCCGAATGTTGCGCCTCCTTTCCCACAGGCCACAGACAGCCGATTCGCACAGCCTAGTCAGGCGAACCAACTCCGATGCAGCATCGTTGAAGTTAGGGTTTGCAGTCCGGCTTCATGCCATTCGACCCGTTGCAACGATCCTTGGAGTGTTTCATTCAGTTCATCTCAAGCTGCCGGAATCCCAAGCACTGGCCGCACTAGCCTTTCTTTGGCAGGGGTCTTTGGGGCTGGCAAAACCACGTCCGTAACTTTTGTTCTCATGTGGTTGGCGCTTACAACCCCACCAAATGTTGAGATGGTTGTGAAAATCCGGCGGGTCAGACGATTGCCAAACTGTTCGAGAAACATTCATACTACAAAAAATACAAAAGTTTCTCTTCACACAGCTTCTAAACAGTGTACATTCCATGAGCTATGCTCTCCAAAACTCTCCAAAATACTTCGAAACACAAAGTTTCGTCAGAACACTTACGAAAAACTGCAGACATGCGTAGTAATGGAAAAACCGCAGACATGGAGTTGCTGCAGTGCAAACCGTTTGCAGCTGGACGTTCCCTAAAAAGCCACGTGCATCAGTTCAAGGAGTTGGAAACGATCCTCAGATATTTAAGTGTGACACTGTCCTTAAGGTTGCGCCTCTGCCCAATTTGCACCAGACCACATGTTTGGAAAGGACGCCGCTGGTCTTCATTGGTTTTTTGCAGCAGTGACGCTTGCACTGTGGAAACTCCACAACACTTTGAGCCACTGCGCTGTGGACAAAAGTGCGTTTGCGTGGGGAGGACACAGGCTGGCGTAAACGCGGCGTGTCGCTGGTGAGCGGGATGATTTCACCTTGCCATTGGGATTTGCGTTTCAGGGTGTGGTATGCTCAGAACGGGTCGAAATCATGGTCCCAGCAGTACGGCCAGGCAGCTTTTGTTCTTAGTTGCTCGCGTTCTTGTTCCTGGCAGCGATGCCCTTTTGTTGCTAGAAGCGTCCCACAACTGTTGAAGCTTTCCAGCTTTCATTGGATTCCTTAAGTTCTTCTAATCCACACACTGAATATTTTTTTCTCTTGTAAGAAAGCTTCTGTCACCATTGGCTGCAACCTCCAAGCCATTCTCAGAATCATCTTGGCAATCTTATTGACCTTTCCCGCAAAATTCTTTTCCCGAATGCGTCCAACTCTGGAGATGGGGTGGAGCCTGTTCGCAATCTGTGGTTTCTCAGTTCGCTATTTTGCATGATTGAAGCCGCCGTACGTGCAGGAAATGCACAGGTCAGCTTATGCTGTTTTTGAATAACAAACAAAACAAAACCAAACCACAGCAAAAACCCCCAAA